AAGTCAAGTCGTTTAGTTTATGAGGCTAAAAAAGAAATAACGCTAAACGAGATCAGTTGCTTGTAACCGTTTTTATTTCCGCTAGCATGCTTGCTAAATGAGCTGAGTCTGCACAGTGCATTATTGTAAGATGTGTTCCGACTCGGGTTTACATTAGAAAATGTCAGTAAAATAACCGTTTAGAAGATGCATTATTTATGTATATTAAAGGTCTGAATAAAACTCGATAACTCATGGAAGGCCAGCGTAATTCCCAGGAAAAGCAACAGAAGCCTTTAAACCACAGGAGATCAGGAACATGATGTACTCATGAACCAAACAGCAAACACGACTACAAACTCCATCTTACTGGCTGTACAGTTCATTTCAGCATTGTTTAAATGTAGTTTGTAGTTCATAAAAAGCTATACATGTTTGTTTCTTAATTCCGGGCTGAACATGTCCTGTAATAGAGCAAACTAAAGACATTTTCTTCTTGTTTTATGTGCAGTAATGCTGTAGAAACACTCATCCATTATGCTGAGTCGCCTTCAGGAGCTCAAGAAGGAAGAGGAGACTCTTCTGAAAATAAAAGTCATGCTGCAAGATCAGCTCAACAGACTTAAGGTAAGAACAGTCGTGTAAAAAATGTCATTGTGGTCTCTGAGCATAAAACTGATCTCTGTATTTGTTTATGTTCATCAGTTTGAGGAAGGGACCCTGAGGTCAATGATAAATGCCCAGTCTGAAGAAAGCCCAAATGAAGCCCCTGCCCCTGAGGTAAATAAACAAAATGTTGTTCTTCCATTATTCTGAACTGGTGATTTACATTAAAGGAGTGGTACACTTAATAATATTTTATAATAAAAGTAACAGTAAGTATATTTTGTGCTCCTATTTTCTTTTAACCTATTATTTTTGTTGAACATTTTTTCATGAAACACTAGGCAGAATTTCTAAGTTTGCTTTTCATACAACAGATGTGAATAGTTATTTATACTGCAAAACGTCATAATGGGAAAAAAGTGACGTGACATGGGGCCAAGTATGGTGACCCATACTCGGAATTAGTGCTCTGCATTTATCCCATCCTAAGTGCACACACACAGCAGTGAACACACACACACCGTGAACACACACCCGGAGCAGTGGGCAGCCATTTTTTGCTGCGGCACCCAGGGAGCAGTTGGGGGTTCGGTGCCTTGCTCAAGGGCACCTCAGTCGTGGTATTGAAGGTGGAAGAGAGCGCTGTACATTCACTCCCCCCACCGACAATTCCTGATGGTACGAGACTCGAACCTGCAACCTTTGGGTTACGAGTCCGACGCTCTACCATTGTGACGGGGCTGACGAGACGTGAGACGTGTGGATCCATCTGCAGGCTTTATTAAAGAGACGTGGTAAACAGGCAGGGTCAAACAATGGCAAACAGGTATATGGCGGGCAAAACACAAGAATAGTCCCAGGGCTAGCGTAGGTCACCAATCGGCAGACAGAATCACAGGGGCGAGACGAGAGGGAAAAATCCAGGAAAACAGGCAAGGCAAAACAAGGAAAACACAGAGACTCGGTACGGGGTACGGGCTAAACAATACTCAGCAGAGAATAGTGGTTTGAGTGGGTGTTATATAGTGAGTGAGGTGATAAGAAACAGCTGTGTGCAATCAGTGCAGCATGCAAACCGTGCAATGAATGATGGGATATGTAGTCCGGGGTGCTATGCAACAGTTTGTGTTGTGCGAGAGTCAATGTAATGGAAAGGGTGACCTCTGGTGGTGAATAAACGGAAGTCCATGGACCGAATTCGTAACAACCATTTGGCCACGACTTTCCCATCGACTTCCCCAAAAAGCATAATAAATTCACATTTGTGGTCAATGCCTTTAAACTTGCTGCATCGTTATTGGTCACATGACACAATCAGGTCAGAACAACATGAGATTAAATTATGATAACATTTTCAGATTACACTACAATTCAAAACTTTGGGATCAGTTTTTTTTTTTTATATGAAAGAAGTTAATGTTTTTATTCGGCAAGGAGACAATCAATTGATCAAAAGTGACATTAAAGACATTTATAATGTTAGAAAAATATTCTATTTCAAATACATGCTATTCTTTTGAACTTCTAGTCATCAAAGAATCCTTAAAAAAAAGTATCATGGTTTCCACAAAAATATGAAGCTATTTTCAACATGATTTATAATTTGACAAGTTTCTAGAGCACCAAATCAGCATATTAGGATCATGTGACATTGAAGAGTGGAATAATGGCTGCTAAAAATTCAGCTTTGCCACCACAGGAATAAATAACTCAAAGTTATTTTAAATGACAATAATATTTCGCAATATTACTGTTTTTACTGTATTTTTAATGAAATAAATGAAGCCTGGGTGAGCATAAGAGACTCTCTTCAGAATTATTAAAGCTATTCTTTTAAAAACAATTTAAGTTAAGACAATTAAGATGTTTCTCTTGACAAATTATGATGTTTATATTTGTTGTGCGCAGGTGGAAGTCAACCTAGATGATGAGACTGAGATCAACCAGACCAAACTAGTATTAGGCGCTCAAACAGACTATGACATGGAAGAAGAAGAGGAGGAGGAAGAGGATGATGACGAGGATGATGCAGATGACGACCTCGATATGGTGCTAGAAGATGAGGAAGATGAAGATGACTACTGACTGTGCCTGCAAAGACGGCGTTATCATTTACTCCTGTGTTTAGGTGTGTAGTTTGCACATTTGGCATGCTGAAAGAGACTACATCAGTCTCTCTGTCTTAGATTGGTGTTGCTTTAGATAAACTGTTGGTTCACCCATCTATAAAATCCTCCAAAAGTATGTGTAGCACAAATACAACTCCTCCTATTACTGTGCTGTTGGCCAAGCCTGCACTGTATGTATTTTTTTAAATACATACATTAAAGATTGCACCAATTCTATTTCATGGAGTTCACCGAGTGATGCTGTACTAAATAGGCTTTATTTAATATTGTATTGTATTGCTTTCAGATTGAATGCATTATGATTATGAAGCTGATGATAAGTATTATGTATGTACATGTTCCTGTTGTGAGGTATTCGCAGAGGTACTTTTTCTATTTGGAGTGAGTGTGTGGACTAGGCTGTGTGTGCGCATGGGCATGAGAATTGTTCTAGCTGAGCCAGTATTCTAACTTTTTTGTACTTCATGTGCAGCATTGTTAATATACAGAGAGTTCCTATGTTTTCTTAAAGAAAAACATCTTTTCTGCAGATTTTAAAGAAGGTGCTCAGCGTAATTGCATTTTAAAACACTTCAACTTAGCACTGTTTCTTTAACAGAGCGATGCAGGTTGTTTGGTTAGGTGTTTTGGTGTTGCCTTGATGTAAGTGTATGATGTGTGAATGACATTTTTACATTACACAGTAGGTACATGCTAATAAAGGCGAGTATGATGATCAGATATGATGACAGATGCATTTCCTCTGTTGGCCTGCATTATTAATATAATAAATTACAGTTTCTGTGACAACAGACTTCTGCCCCCTCCTAACCACAGCATAAACCTGCAATGCAGTAAAAACACTACCAGCATTCAGTATTTTCAAAAAAAAGCTGTTAACAGTGTACTACGCTTCACAAAAAGGGGCACATCTGGAGACAAATGAAGCCACAATAATGGATTAATTTATATTCTTATAACTTTAAGAATGTTTAATATTTATATGTTCTTAAAGTGCAAAATAGAATGTTTTAGAAATAAATACGTATATCCTATATATTGTGCAAAATAAATGTTAATATTAATGTTTAATATTAGATTTTTTTTATATAGAAAGCAAGGTTTATGGATATATCAAACATTTTTTAATTAGCGATTCAATTTTAACAATGTACTACACTTCACAAAAAGAGCAGGGTCTGGAGAAAAATGATGCAACAACAGTATATAGATAATATAGATCGTAATCTAATAACTTTAAGAATATTTAATATTTATATATTCTTAAAGTGCAAAATAGATTTTAGAAATATTTGTTTTAGAAAAAATAAATATATGTATATCCTCATATATAGTGCAAAATCAATTAAAACATTTTATATTTTTATTTATAATTGTTTATTTAATACAATTTTATTTCTATTATTTTATATAGAAAGAAAGCGTGCTTGTAGATACATCACTTTTTTATATTTGTAGTTCAATTTTAACAATGTATTACACTTACATTGTCTGGAGAAAATGTTTTTTGGGGGGTTTTTTGCAATTTAATTTTAATTTTTATTTTATCTGCAGAATCCCACACCTTGAATTAATGTAAAAAACTGTGATGTATCCACAAACCTTGCTTTCTATATAATTTAATACATTTGTAATTAATTTTTTAATTTCCTCCATTAATTGCTTTTTAAACATTACTACTTGCTAAATACAAGTTGTGGATTACTCAATCACAATAACTCAATAACATAAGAGTCAGAGTAAGACCTGAAACCTGTTGTATAATATTTGAGTCAGTTTCTCCCACCTGTCATTGTTGTTGCAACATTAACTTTGCTTACAGAGTGAAACCCTTGTTTGTGGGAGATCTGTCCACCATTGCAAAATGTGATCACAGTCCATTGACCCTCAATAGGGAGGCTTTTGGGTCTACAGTGGGGTCATGGGACCACCTTTAGTACAGCACAGCGCTTTGCCACCCAAGCTGAACAGTAACAGACTCTGTATGGAAACCTTCATACTTTAAAACTGGATGTGATATCAAGGTGTGGGATAGTTTTCATCAATTTTAAAGGCAGTTCCATCTGGAATCAATGCAAATTCTGAGAAAGGTATGTTCAAATCAAAAGTACGAGTTTGAAAATGTAATTTTCTAGATGTTGGAAAAAGGTTTTGATCATTCATTACTGGGCAAACTGCATTGTGTTTAGTAACAGCGATGAGTGATGTCTAGTGAAACGGTAACTACCTCTCAAATCAGGAGAGCGTGGTACTGATGAGAGTCACTGAGCTGGAGCTGAGATCTGGAATATGATGCTGTCACACCGTGTTGGACGAGCTTGTCATGTGCTTATGCTGGTGTTGTGTCTGTCTGCGGCTGAGGACTTCGACTGGTCAGCGAACAACCACGACTCCTTCTATTATGGCACTTTTCCAAATGGTATGATGCCACCATTACTAAACGGATTCCTTTCTCAGACATTATGGCCTTTGGGAAATGAATTGATCTGCATGGATATCAATGATGAAAGTTAAATACATTAACTGACAAATAATACTTAATGTGAAAGAATTGTATTCTCTACCGTTTCACTTTATTTGTCAGGATTTTCGTGGGGCGCCGGCAGTTCAGCCTATCAAACAGAAGGAGCCTGGGACAAAGATGGGAAAGGACTGAGCATCTGGGATGTGTTTACTCATAAGAAGGGAAAGACGTTCTTGAATGACACTGGAGACTCTTCATGTGAGGGATACTACAAATTCAAGGTGACCATACTGGGTTTTGCTATGACATTGAATATGAAATGCCCCAGCTGAAATGCAACAAATGTTTTGCTTAATTTTCTCGCATAGGATGATATTTCATTGATAAAAGAGCTGAATCTGAGTCATTATCGGTTTTCCATTTCCTGGCCTAGGATCATGCCAACTGGAATCAGGTGTAAGTATCCATACTGCTGGCTCTAGGTAGGATTTTTATATATTCCCAAAATATTTGACCTCCACTTTTGTGTATTTGCAGCTGACCATGTGAATGAGAAAGGAGTGAAGTATTACAGTGCTCTTATTGATGAGCTGCTTGAACACAATATCACTCCCATTGTGACCCTTTATCATTGGGACCTGCCACAGGTGTGTATTCCTGAATATATCCAATAGGCCTACTAATAGCGCTATTTAAAATATTATATTCTGATTTATTTAACCTCTCTAGAACGTTTTGATGAATAGATCTTAAATAGCATATTTTATTTGAACTAAAACAAGGCTGTGAGGCAGCAGACTGTTCAATGGGCTTTAATGCTTTTGACTTTTTGCTCGTTCAGATAACGCAACGTTGTGTAATAAAAGTAATAAGGACATAAAACAAAAACTGTGGAAAACGTGCTGTAAAAAAATAGACGTGATATCGTGTGTCATATTTACTGCTGCTCGACGAAATGTTCCAAGTGAAATCCAAAAATCCATCGGGAGTTTCACGTGAGAGTGGGAAAATTCCCAACGTCAATTTAGCAACGGTTTTAAGGATGTGGTTTCACTGCGATGACCAACAAGTTGCTTGGTTAGAATGTGATTTCTGTATGTGCTGTGCTTTATATATCTCATACATCCCTACATATTAATTTTAATTGCTTTTTTGCCCACATAAAGTCCGAGTTTTGCTAATGTGGCAGCAGAACACAATTCGCCTGTCCATCACCGCCTCCTTTTCATTTTCTAAACAAAAAGAGCCAATTCGATTCATTTTATATTTACTTAACCCTCTCAACAATATTTTTATACAATATCTGTCAAGATTTGACAAGTAAAAAGATGAATACACGTTTAATGAATTTCATTCATCCACTCTATTGACTGCAGTAATAATGGATTAGTCTATAATCTTTTTAGGAAGGTTTTATCATTTATCAATTTGTCTGTACATTTGGACAGGTGTTGCAGGAGAAATATGGTGGATGGCAGAACATCAGTATGATTAATTATTTCAACGACTTTGCCAATCTTTGCTTTGAACGCTATGGGGACCGTGTCAGATACTGGATAACTTTTAATAACCCATGGGTACGTTCACTCTATTCATCTCTAGTTAATAACAGCGAATTAAAGAAATGTGTAAAGGATTAGGTTATTAATGCTCATTGTGTGTCAGTCAGCGGCAGTGGAAGGATATGAAACTGGAGAACATGCTCCAGGACTGAAGCTCAGGGGCACTGGGGCCTACAGAGCAGCTCACCACATCATTAAGGTAACACTTAGCTTCCCTGACATAATATTGTATCATAGTATTTCAGAATGGAGTTACTGTACAATACTGTTTGTGTTGGTTTACTAACAGGCACATGCTAAGGTTTGGCACACTTACGATACTCAGTGGCGAAACAAACAAAGAGGTATGAGCTTTCCAGTATCTATAAGTTTATTAAAAATCACACCCTCTGAACCCTCTGGCTGCTTTCTTCTCTAGGTATGGTGGGTATTTCACTGTCCGGGGACTGGGGAGAGCCTGTGGACATCACTAACCAGAAGGACATTGAGGCTGCAGAGAGATATGTACAGTTTTACATAGGCTGGTTTGCTACACCCATCTTTCATGGAGATTATCCTCAAGTGATGAAGGATTTCATAGGTACTATTGCTATGTTGAATATGTGAGGTTAAGAATGGTGCAATCCAGCATATTAATAACAATTTTGTATCCAAGGGAGGAAAAGCGCACAGCAGGGTTTGGGAACGTCTCGCCTTCCCACCTTTTCTTCTCAGGAGAAGAGTTACATCAAAGGCACCTCTGATTTCCTAGGTGTGGGGCACTTCACCACACGCTACATAACCCAAAAGAGCTTCCCTTTCAACCGTGGCTCCACCTACTTCTCAGATCGGGATGTAGCAGAGCTGGTCGACCCACGTTGGCCTGATCCTGGTTCGGAGTGGCTCTACTCGGTTCCTTGGGGTTTCCGCCGTCTGCTCAACTTTATAAAGGTGCACAAAGGCTGTCGTTGTTTAAAAGGCATTGTTTCACATCATTTCCTCATGCTGAATCTTTGATCTTGTTTCGTAATATATATTTATTAGTAATGTCTTTGTGACAGTGTCATGTCATGAATTGACAACTTTTGACTTGCTCTTTGACTTTCTAAAGACTCAATATGGGAACCCCATGATCTTCATCACTGAGAATGGGGTCTCAGAGAAGATGATGTGCACAGAACTGTGTGATGACTGGAGGATACAGTATTACAAGGGTTACATCAATGAGATGCTCAAAGGTAACCAGTCCAAAAATGAGTAAAGGGATGGGTCACCCAAAAATGGAAGTTCTGTCATCATTTACTCACCCTCATGTTGTTTAAACTAGTATGACTTACTTTCTTCTGAGGAACATAAAGGATCATTTGAAGAATGTTTAAACTGTTTTTGTCCATATAACGGAAGTCAATGGGGTACAAAACAATATTGGACCCCATTAACTTTCGTTGTATGGACAAAAAACAGCAACACCACATGCATTGAAAGTCATACAGATTTGGAATGACATGATGGTGTGTAAATGATGACAGAATCATCACAAATTATACTGTATTTTATTTGTTGTTAACCTGCAGCTATCAGGGATGGAGTGAATGTAAAGGGCTACACCGCTTGGTCCCTTCTAGACAAGTTTGAGTGGGATGAGGGCTATT